GACTCCTCCTTCTATTTACTTCTTCCTACGTCATCATAAAATGTTAGAGTTGGGAAGAGCTGGTAGATACATTTCATTCAACCTTCTCATGTGACAGATGAGGAAAACTAAGGCCTGGAAAGGTAAAGCATTTTGCCTGACTGACAGAGACTGTATAAGAATAGCATCACCAAACTCCCAGGACCCTTAGCATCAGCATCGCCTGGGAGTGGATTAGAAACGTAAGACTCTCCCACCCACTCCACACCTGCTCAGTCACACTCTGAGTTTCAGCAAGATCCCCAGGTTATTCACATGTAAGTACATGGGGAAGCATTGCTCTAGCAGATGACAGAGCTTCTCCTTAAAATTACTACATACTCTAAACAATGTAAGGGTAATCTTTGCATAATGTCTCTTGATAACAGGAATTTAAATCCAATTTCCAAGGAGTAGACATTTCATTACATTTCCGAAGCTGCCCTAAAAGTGCTAATTAGGGAAGAGAGGGGGTGGGAGGTTGGAGTTGTGAAAGGGACTGGCTTGGAACTCTACCAGTAGTAAATGTTCTTAGGTTTACCCACATTGGCATTTTTCTGCAGGCAAATGTTTTCAGGTGGCCCTACCCTGCTTAATTAAAGCCGTATTGTCATCTCCGTCCTTACTTAACATGCACACAAGGAAGTTATTTGAAATGTAAACATTAGCAATCATCTCAATTCTGGGAAATGCACAGGGGTGAGTACCTAAGTGTGAGAGAGAAATGAGCTCGTTCTGCCATTAAGCAGACTGAAGAGGCAGGCTGGGGAGAAGCCATAAGTTCTCCAGGCCTCCTGGGTCAAAGTTTCCTTATTCTGTGTGAAGCACATTGGGAAATTCTGAACATACTCATGTTTAAACAAAGTATGAAGGAACATTTATAACTCAATTAAAAATAGTTCTATGACTATCTATCTACTAAGCTGAAGTCTCATCGATGCTATTCACTCTAGAAAAACTGTAATTAAAAGAACATAAGAATATTTTGTACATTATTCCTAGTTACATTCCTAGGATGTTGTACACATGTAAAAATAAAAAGAACACTTAAAACCACACGTCTATTCAACAATATGTTTTCATTTCTGTTACATAAAAGCCCTGGGTTAGGCTCTGAAGAGAACACAAATGTGTAGATGACAGGGGCCTACCCCACTGAGCTTTAGGCGAGCATAAGGCAGGTATAAGAATAACTGGCATTTAAGACAGAATAAGATAAGCATTACAAGAAAGTTTTACATGAAGTACTATGATGGCCCAGAGGAGGGACACATCATTTATGCTGAGAGGACTGAGGAAAACTTCATAAGGGTAGTGGCCTCTGAATATGGATTGGAAGCATAGGTAGATTTGCTGAGTAGAGATGGGGGATTAAGGAGAAAATACAGGGGAGACCAAGCAAAGAGAACAGTAGGCTAAAAGGTGCACAGAAGTTGTGTAGAAAAAGCATCAGGATGTTCCGTAACTCTGAGAGAAGCAGTTCCATTACTCCACGAAGGGTCTTATTGGGAAGAAATGTTAGAAAATTAGGGTGGGATTAAACTGTGGGAGGATTTAGACATGAGCTTGGATTAGAACTTTTTCATGCAGACCATGAGACCCAATGAAACTATGTGAGCAAGGGAGTGGCCAGAACCAGCAGAAAGGGCTTCCCTCTTGTCTTAAAGTGAACAGGACAGGGACAGAGTGTCAACTGGGAACCCAATTGGGAGTCAGTGGCAGTGGGCCTAAGAATGGAGAGGCAGAGACAGTCTGTGAAGTGACAAGACCAACTGAACATGAAGACAGTTTGGAAAAAAGGGAGCAAAGCGGAAGACGTCACCCTATCTGAGCGTGGGTGACTGCGGGACAACGATGTAATTCACAGCCACCAGGAATGAGAAAAGAACAGGCAGGGTGAGAGGAGAAGACTGGTTTTAGACATGCTGAGGTGCTGACGGGATGTCCAGGTGAGAAAAATACAACAGGCCATGCACAATGAGGTGAGGGCCAAAGACTGAAATCTGGGAATCATTCACATGAAGGAGATTCAAATGTGAAGCTTGGGAGTGAAAAGACACCAAGGGAGAGAATAACGTTTAAATTATTGGGCATGGTCATGGTTATTTTTAAATGTTTACCATGACAAGAAATTTATCTATCCACTAATATTAACACTATAGGACTAAGTCAGTGTTTTGCAAATTATTTCCTGAAAGCAGTCATTTTATTTTGTGCAGTGGATGTAATTGGGCATTTGAGAGAGAGAGAGAGAGAGAAAAGAGTTTTATGGCAATTCAGCTTGGGAAATACTAGATTAAAAAGAGTTTAACAAATTCTTTACCTCAGGACTCCTGAGTCTTAAATATGCTCTGTCCACTAGAGAACTAGCCTATTTTGCAGCTTTCTCTAAACACTGTTAACCAAAGCACACTTCTTTTTACAGAACACATATGACTCCTGTGGAATGCAGTTTGAGAAGTGATGCTATAAAGTACAGGAAGCAGGAAAAGGCTTTCTTACCCTTAGAGAATTTTGTGGCTATGCACTTGAGAATTTAACCTTCATTTATGAATTGAACACTTTCCCTCCACGTTGCTGTGGAGAGTGGAGCAAGGCCAGGAGGTCGCTCACAGACCCAGGGTCTTCCTTGTATTTCCTTTGGTTATGGCAGTGGGGTTCACTAACCCGAGCGTGTAACCTGGAGAAAACCATAACTACAAGGTATGTACACACGTGGGCTTAACAGTGCTGGTTACTGATCTGAAAAGCAAATATGACCATATGCTTCGATTACAGCAATGCCTCCTGTGTGCCCTTTCAGATCTCAGCATCTTCCTCTGTCCTAGGCCAGAGAGTCAGAAGACTGGGGCTATACTTCTAAGCCTAATGACCTCGAGAAAGTCCCCTAGTCAATCTGAACTTCAGTTCAATCTTTAAATGTGAACAATGTCCTTGTGCTGCTTACTCAGAGCTGAGTTTTTCTGTTTTTTTTTTCTTTTTTTTTAACGTGATATTTTTCTTTTACATAGAATCCAATCTGCAAGTTATGTTATACATCAGTCCTGAAAGGGAACGAAAGTGGATTCAGGAGATACAGCCTTACCTTTCAAGAAATGTAGTGGTGAAGGTAAGAGGAATATTGAAGGGATAGCTGGGTCAAGGAAAGGACATTTTTATGAAAAGGGAAAATAGAAAGGGAGCCACTGACACCATAAAAAAGAGAACCGGTGGAACAGTAAGCCTTGGCCAGGAGGAGGAATATTACTTCTGAAATAAGAAGGAAGAAAAGTTGCAGGATAAATCAAACATTTCAAACAAGAAAAGAAAATAAGAGAGCTCCCACGGGGATGGCTTCAGTCTTCCCTACAAAACAGACAATGATGCAATTTGGTGAAAATGGCAGGGTTAGGAGGGGATTTGGGTGTGAGAAATGGAACAGCCATCATGGACCCTGCAATACTGATTCAACAAGAGAGGAAAGGAATACATAGCAATGGCAAGGGCTTGCTGAGGTTCACAGGCATCAGCTGTAGTAGACCCCAGCACAGCTTTGTGACTTTAGCCAACAATTCTTGGCAACTCGAGATGTTAAACAACTGCATGAGCACACACTCTGTGTGGAAAGAGTGCCAGGAGAAGATACTAAGAGAATCCTCTTCTATGGAAAGACTGGCGAGCAGGGGGATATTAGTTTAATAAGTGTTTTGGTCACAAAATCTCATCAACAAAGTGGTCTCCGAATTCTTCCCTTCAGAGAGCAGTACAATCAACCCTGTTCCAACCCATCAAGAATAGATTAAGAAAGGCAGTAATTTAGACAGGAGATCAGCAAAGTATGACACCACTGTCATCAGTTTTCTGAGCAAAGGCAACATCTCTAAGGCAAATATTTTGCTAACTCCTACAAGTCAGAAAATTGGATCTTCCTCCTTGACTATTTTCATTAATATTACACATAAAATGTTTTCGTCCCCTGTCCCCACCGCCACTAAACATCCAGGCCAGCAACAGGGCCAGCCCAACACCTGAGATCCTGAGAGATGGGGATCAGGACATCCCCACCCCCACCCACAACCAGATCCTAGAAGATACTTATTAACCACGTGTATTTCTTTGGGTGTGTGACTTATCTGCTCATATCCTTCACCCAATTTCAGCTTAGATTTTTCTAATTCATTTTTAAGAATTCCTTTTGCAATAAGGATATTAATCTTTGTGTGTTTAAAGAAAAAAAAAAGTAAATAGAATAATAGTTACCAGAGGCGGAAAGAGTTAGGGGTGGGGGACGAAGATAAGGGATGAACTAACGAGGACAAAACTATGCCATCTATCCTAAGTGAATCATTGTGCAAGATATGCATGAACTGAAACAACAAATACACTGTACCCCACAAAACAAAGTTGAACTTAAAAAATAATAATAATCAATTGAAAGGGAAAAAATGTTTTCATCCAAACTGACACACACTGGAGAGTAAAAGGGGGCATTATTAATAATGAAGTGGGAGTGATGAGCACACACTGGGACTGATCCAGGCAAATGGAACATATGACCCACCTTATTACATATGACCCACAAAGAATTGCAAAAGACAGCTCAGAAATGCATGGAACACACAGTTCTGTATGGTTTGTCATGGAGGGAAAGAATGCTACTTACTCATGAAACTGTGAGCAATCAGGACAGAAAGCCATGTGGAGGGTGCCCTGAGTCACATATTCAAAGGGTGGTGGTTAGCTCAACTACAGCAGCACAAGGCCAGTTGAGAATACAGTATGAGGAAGGGAGCAATTCTTCTAAAAGAAAGTTGTGTAGTGACCAAGAATCCCAGAAGACTTAAATCAGAGCAGACTCTATAGCTGGTTGGCACAAAAGCACTTTTTTTTAAGTGCCAAGTTTGGAAAAGATGGTTATTGGGCTAATGAAAAGAAGCACTTTCTAACTCAAATAAGAATTCATCAATAAAATTAAATCCAAAATAAAAGATCTTAGTGGTTTGAGCTTCCTAGTAGCTTATGAGGACAGGGCATAAAAAGATATACTTCTTAGGGAAAAAAAAGTAATCAGTGAAAATTACAGAAGCATGTTTGAATAACGGGAACACTCCTTCGATATCTTACATTGGCGAGCAGAAGTAAGGACCAATAAGCAATTCTGAGGCTTTGGGGAAGTCGTTCTCAAATTGTAGTCCCCTGACTAGCAGCATCACCGTAACCCAGGAAGTTGTTAAAAAATGCACATTTTCAGGCAGGCCCTACCCCAAACTTGCTGAATCAGAAACTATGAGAATGGGCCCCAACAATCTTTAAGTTCTCCAGGTGTTTCTGATGCACAATAAAGTTTGAGAACTACTGTTTTATGCAATCAGCTATCTGTCTACCCTCTGGGATCGGAAGGAATAGCTTTCTGGGTAAAGTGTTAGGTAAGCTTTTCTTTAGAGCCTCATTGCTAAAGCACTCGGTCCTTGCTCCTCAAATTGTGGGCCATGGACCAGTAGCAACTGCATCCCCTGGAAGCTTGATAGAAATGAAGACTCTTGGGCCTCAGTTTACACCTACTGAATCAGAATCTGCATTTACAAGATCCCCAGGTGATTCCTATGCACACTAAAGTCTGAGAGGTACTAAACTAGAGACAGAACATTCATTAACTAGTGAGAGGAGGGAAAGATTCTTGACCCCCGTATCCTCCTCTGAGACAAGTGGGAGTCCTCTCACTCACCTCTAACCCAGTCCTAGCTGGAGGGTGGGAAGCGGGTGGACTCTGGAGGAGCTACTAAAGCTGCAGGCCCTGTCTTTCCCACTGGCTGTCTCTGGAGCCACATGAGGGCACCCACTTGTCACTGCTGATGTTGACCTAGTGAAATGTTTGGCCATGAATATGCTTGAAGTATGGCCACGTGTACATCTCCTTGAACTGTTAATGGTTTAAAATGCCAGGTCGCAATAAAAATACGGACCAAAAGTGTAATCCACTTATTCCTATAAACAATATAGTAGAAATATACAGATATATACAGATTGTTTTTGTCCCTATTAAATCACTTCTCTCAAATCTTTTAAATAGTGGGTGAGATACTTCCCAAATCTGGAAGCTATTGAGTTGTGAGAGAGAAAACAAAAGAGTTAAAATGGTCTACTTCAAAAAAAATAATAATAATCCTAATAAGTCCACCAGGGGTTTTTTTTTTTCTTATTTTGTCATTATAAAAAGAAAAATAAATAAATAAATAAAATTATTTTTTCCAACCAACCTGATAACATGGATCCCTCATTAGCAGCCTCAGACAGATTAACACTCTCAGAAAATGAATAGATGGGGCTCGATTAACCCACTCTCTGAAAGAGAAAAAGGACAACGTGTTCATGTTTAAAGGGCCAGTTGTAACTGTAAATAATGCAAGATAATAAAGGAAAATAAAGAACACATGAAGGAATAAGTACTTAGTTTATTTCCAGCTTAGTCTGCAATGAGGGCTGTTGTTTGGTATTTGAACACTTGACCCATTTTAATGCAAAACACATATAAACCATCTTTATCACTGTGAAGCAGAGGACCCCCAAACTTATTTTGTTCCAGGTGCCCTTACTGACTGAGAAGTATTTCATGGCACCCCTAGACTGAAGAAATAATTAGAAGTTCTAATAATTAGTTAGGTCCAACTTAACAAGAATTTATACCCAAACAAGTTAGTATTCATTTAAAAAATAATGCACATACTTTAAGAGAAAAATATTTTATTTTAACGATCACATTTCTTATTAACGGAGTGTGTACACCTGTGGACATAAAACAACTTAAGCCTAGGAGTCAGATTGGACACCACCATCTTTGTTTCCTCTTTCACCCGATTTCCATAAAGTACTTGCTTTTTATCATAGCAACCACTGAAAATCCAGCTTCAAAAGATACACCGTCATCTAAAGGAAGGTGGTATGATCTAATGCTGAAATCGTAAACTACCTTGAGCAGTTGTGCTGGATCTGGTGGACGCTGCGTAGCACTGTGCTTTCCTTAAAAATTTTAAATATCCCAGGGTGCCCCTGGAAGTTCTCTGCAGCCCCAGGGCACTCTGGTGTTCAGTTTGGGAAACAAAGGGATAAGGTATTTTGTTAGATCAGTTTCACCAGAAGCAGACCCCAAAATGAAGATTATTGTGCACAAATGTATAATGAAGGGCATGCTCTCAGGAGAGATCAGTAAGAGAGAGGGGAAGGGGAGAACGCCAAGCAAGGGTACAGTCTCAGGCAAAGTCTCGCCTAACCCGACCCTGCAGTGGGGCTCTGGAAAGTGAGTTACCCCCAGAGTTGTCCCACACTGAGGCAGGGGCCAGGCTTCCATACTAGAGAAGCTGTTGCCAGTGGCTGAGAGCTGCAGCAGGACAGAGGGAACAAATTCCCAGGCACCCCTTGAGCTCTCTGTGCCTGCTGGCAGAGCGGCCTCAAGGAGCCTGAGGGTGGTGCAAGCTCTGTTGACAGGAAAGCGCCAAAACCAAAAGGGCAGGATCTGAGGGTTCTGGCAAAGCCCTAGCATTATCCCACAGCTCTACAATGACACTCATCAGAACCCTTTGGAATTAAAGTAACAGTCACTGGAGAAGACATATTATGACAGAAACTGAAGATCTATTTACCAGAACTCAAGCACAGGTGTAACTTATGAAACTGGGTCTCTTCAGAGGGGGGAAAATCTGAATTTTTGCTTTAAACATTGAATATTTCCAATATTCAAAATACTATCAGCAGATTTCTGAAGAACTATTTAACTTAAAGTATTACTTCACTGCCGTCAAATGATATATGTATCCACTGGAGCGCATTTTAAGAGGCTTTTAAGTTATTTTTCTTTAGCAAAGAATAATTTGCTAATATCCCAGTATTTTGTTATAAACAACAGAGACAAACTAATACAGTGATCCTTTACAACGCAAGTCAATTCATGTCACTCCTCTGCCCAAACCTCCAGTAGCTCCCATCTCACTCGGGATAAAAGCCAAAGTCCTGGCCGGCCCGTGGCTCACTCGGGAGAGTGCGGTGCTGATAACACCAAGGCCACGGGTTCGGATCCCATATAGGGATGGCCGGTTTGCTCACTGGCTGAGCGTGGTGCTGACAACACCAAGCCAAGGGTTGAGATCCCCTTGCCAGTCATCTTTAAAAAAAAAAAAAAAAAGCCAAAGTTCTTACCATGGCACACAAGGCTCTACAGGCCCCATGACACCTCTGACCCCATCTCCTTTCACTGCGCCTTGCTCGGACCCTCCCAGCCACGCTGACCCTCCCTCCCATCACACGGGCTGAGCAGTGAGCCTGCACCTAAGGTGCTTCCCACGACAGCCTCTTGTGACTTTTCAATACTGAACATCACAAAGAATTAGAAAGATGTTCTCCAACATGACATGAGGCCAGTCACTGAGGTTGTTCTAACGCGGTGTGTGTCATGGTACAGAGCAGCCAACACAGCACAGACTGGACTCCTGAGGGGAGGGAGAGAGGCTGAGTGCTGCCATGAACAATACTGCTTGGTCCTTGTTCACAAGAGCCTGAAACACAAAGTGTCTGCTATTTCATACTTAAACAAGAAAAACTGAGAGAGATAATGTAAGCAATTCCAGACTATAATCCACAGAATTTCTCCCACCTCCACAGCTGAGCTGGTTATGTATCCAGCAAGGATACTTTAAAGATCTGCCCCCATCAAGTGGAGCATTTACTTGAGCTGTGGATCCAAGCCAACCCTTGCCTGGCTTGTCCCATACTGATCCTTGGCCTCTAGTGGTAGAATTCAGCTTTGTCTCCTCTACGGTCCTGAGAAACTCAACTCTACCCCCAAACCTGCACATCTCAAGCCTGAGTGAATGAAATACACCTTCCTCAAAAGCAGGATGAACAACTATGGTTGCTGACCCTGGAGGTGCCACTCCTTAACCCCACCCCACTTACACTCCACCCCCCAATTCACCATTCCTTCCACCTACAAGACTTATGGGAAGACCTCATGGGAAGGAGGGCGCTAGACGTGCTTTTCCCACAGCCTTATATCCCCAGGGATGTTTTCACACTCCTTATACACCAGAGCCCCCAGTAGAGGACTGGCTCTGCAGAGAAATGTCTGAAGAGCATCTCTGGTGAAAATCACTCTTTCTGCCATCACCAAGACTCAACATAGCTGCCATCAACTCCAGGGCTCCTCCTCTGGCCCAAGCACCTTGTCAGTGACCCCTTTGCCAGGGGGGCAAAGTCAAGTTTTCTCTGAAAATAAAGATAAGACTCAACCAATCCCTGGGCTGCCAGCCAAGCAGAATTATCTAAGGCCATAATGATGACTGTACTATGGTTCACCCCAACTTCAGATCATACGTACCTGGCACTATGAAAAAAATGGCAAATTTAAAATACATTTTGAATTTGAAACAATCATCTGTGGGAACACTTGCAAAAAATGTGGTTATTCTAAGGCTCCTAATACAAAGATAATACCTTTAATCTCTATAAACAGGGAGAGGGCATATGACAAGTTCCCCTTTCAAGTGCTGGGGTTAGTTAAAAATAACATGTAGCCTGAACTGTAGTGCAAAGATACTATATCCCAAAGATCTAACAGATATAATGATCAGGTTACAACAGCTGCTGGCAACCTAATTATGTTGACTGCTGATTACTCTTCATTATTTAAGAGGAAAAGTCATGGGACATTTTAAGAGATGATTCATGCTACAAATATGTGTATACTTGGTATTTTTCCTGTTGGCTATATACAATCTTCATAAGGATAGTCCATGACCTTTCCAATGTTTTTTCATATTGAAATAAATCTGAGGTTTTGTTTTCTTTTGTTTTTTTCCAGCTTCCTCCCCACCCCCAAGAAAAAGAAAAAAAAAAATTTCAAGTGGATTTATTTTCTTTTTCTTTACTATTAAAGGAGCATAAATAAATGAACAGTTCCAGAAAGTCTCAGAGCTGAAAGTTCTGTTCCAAGCAAATGACATTTTTTCATTTTGTTGTGCAATTTGGGGACTGATGCCCAAAGCTATTAATATTTCTACATAATTCTGGCCTCTGCTGGTGTAAATGTAAATAGAATTCCTGGTGTCTGAGTCCTGTGGCTCCTCTCCTCTGCACACTGACCTCTGAAGGAGCAGTTGTTTCTTCCTTGGCTCCCAGCCCTGAACCCCCCACAAGGACGTGGCTCATGGGATGGAGCACTGGTATTCAAGTGGAATTGCATGCTCTGTAAGACGATATATACATCTGTTTGCCAAGAATTGGGGAACTAGGAATCACACAACTTAGTGCAACCAGAGAATTACAGAGAATAATGGTGGCAGATTGTAAAGACAGTGTCTTCATTTTACCGATTCAGCAGCTGCAGCCTGGAGGAACTGAGTGGCTGGCCCAAGGCTGCAGATAAGTTACAGAGCTGCGTGCCTGACTTCCAGGCCAGTGTTCCTGGCACCACTCCACCTCCACCTGGGTCCTACACAAGGGGATGACTGAAGGGAAAGTGACCCTCCAGATACATTTAATATGGGAACAGGAGCATTCTGCAGAGAAGCATGGGGGTCCTTTGAGGCAGTCCTGGAAAACTTGTCTGTCTGCAAAGATAGTGTATCCCTACGGGATACGTCTCAATATAGCTGCCACCCAGAAGCGAATTCATGAGCAGGCAAATGCTTATTCCCTCTTGTGACTGAACTTATGCCACTGCTTTCACAGAACTATTAGTACATGGCAGCATGATCAGCTCCCACAGCCGTTCTCATGACCACCTGCCATTCCTCTGTCAGCATCAGATGCCACTTTCAATATAAAAAGAGAAGGAAAAATGGCACTAGAGACACAGTATTTGAAAGGAGAAAGGGTATTTGGGGTTTCAACTTCTTGCACAGGGGAAGAAACCAATATGTGCTGTAAGAGCTCCACATAAAAGTCAGTCGTGAAGCTGTGGCATTGTGTACGACAGCTGCAGCTCTTGATAGGCCAGATCCCCGAGAGGTACGGAGTTACCTGACTCCATGCACTGAGGCAGATGGCAGAGGTTACAGCCCAGACCCCGACTTGGAACACGCTTCTCTCTGTCTCCCACTTGGAATGAACAGCCGTTCTCATGTCGTACTGCTGTTTTTATTAACACATAAAGCAAACAAAAAGAGCCTGCCAACTTTGACTTAAAGTTTAAGGTCAAGCCTGTTTCAAAATAAATATTACCTCAAATTCATAAGACAGAGAGAGTCCAATTTTTTTTTTTTTTTTTGGATAGTTGAACAAGTAATATTCATTCAAGAGAGACATGTAAAACTTAAAAGAAATGGGAATATGTGTGAAGAAACTCATCATAA